CTGGCCACTGGCTGGCAGTTGGCGGCCTTCGCCGGCTGATTCTAAATCGTGCCCTAGCTGTACAGAGGCCAGCTAGTCAGCTGGGTCAAGAGACAAACAGCAGATCCGGGCTCCAGGCGAGAACCTCGGAAGCCAAGGCAGAGGGGAAAGACGGCAGACACGCCACAAATGAGCCAGAACAAAAAATTCTATTTCTAGGACGTTTCCAGAAAAGGCAAAACTACAGCAACAGCAGATGAAGCTGGGCCCGGGGGCGGGTCTTGAGGACACACGGCAGCCAGGGAAGTTTGGGACGATGCATGTCTTTAAAACGGGGTGCGGGAGGGGCGGGGAGGACTGTGTCACAGTGCAAATTTGCTAAAAATAACCGCACCAGCAAAGGAAACACGGGGTGGGGGAGGCGGTGAAAAAGTGTACCCCAATAAAACTATGGGAGAAGGAGGGTGGTAGCCAACCTAGGGGATTTCAAGCTTCCTTTTTTAGAGGAAATAAAAATTCAAAGGTCTAAAGTACACGCAGTGGCCTGTAGCCATAGGACAAGGGGTAAGACGCTTGCCTTGCACATGGCCACGCTGGGTCGATCCCTGGCACCCCTTATGGTCCTCTGAGCCCCACCAGGAGGGATCTCTGAGCACAGTGCCAGACATAAGCCCTAAGCACCACAGGTGTGGCCCAAGATACTAAAATAATTTCGTCAGAATGACAGGGACAGACACAGAATGATCTCTCATATGTGGGACTTCAAGATGCAGAGTGAGGCTGCAACAAAGATCCAAAGGCGAGGCCAGACATCGTACAGAGGGCAGGGAATGTGCTTTGCACGCAGCTGACCCAGGTTCGATCCCCAGCATCCCAGCACGGAGCACCTCCAGGAGTAATTCCTGAGAGCAGAAACGGGAGCAAATGCCAAGCAGCAATGGGTGAGGCCCCAAGGCCGAAAACCAAACCAGACCAAACCGAAAACGCAGGAGCAAAAAACCCACAAAAGCCAAACGAAGCAAAACAAAAACAAAACAAAGGCAACACAACAGAGGAACTGACACAGTTGTGCTAGGAGGTAAGAGGGGTGACGGGTGAGGAGGGGGAAAGGGTGGAGTCCCTGGGGGAGGGGGAGGAGTATACTGGTGATGGGGGTGGTGCTGTTCTTATGTTCGTGAGAAGCCACTAGTAACAGTATTATAAACAACAACAACAACAACCCTCAAACAATTAAAAGCAAAACACAAATAAATAAAAAATAAAGAATAAAGTCCATGCATTGTATGATATAGGGGCCCCGAGTTTGATCCCCAGCACCTCATGGTCCCCAAGCCAGGAGCACTGAACAAAGAGCCGGGAAGAGCTCTTATCTCCCCTTCCCTGCACTGCTGGGGGTAGCCTAAAGCTCAGAAAGAAACAAAAAGGAGAAAAACCATTTCCCCAGTGCTTCTAAGAGGCAGCCAGTAGAGACTGCGACACCAGACACAGGGGGCCATGTCCACTCCCCCAACCCGCCCTATGTGGCACAGGCTGGGCCCAGCACCCCGCCACAGAAGAGGGCATTCTATTCATTTAGGGGGGCTGCCAGGCAGTGCTCAGGAGGGCCCCTCTGGGTAACTCAGCCAACCAGGCAACAGTTCAATCCTAGGGTCCGAGGATGCTGGGGCGCCAGGCTCTGGGAACCATGTCATGCTGGGGCTTGAAACTGGCTTGGCCAGGCTTGCGTCTCATCCCTCCCTCCACCGCCCCCCAAATCCCTCTCCGGCCCCTGGGTGAGCGGCACACATTCCAAGAGTGGGTTCCCGGAGTCAGTGTCATAAAAGTGGCCATTTAATGAGCACTTACATGGGGATCTTTCCTTTAGCCCACAGGTTCCAATGCTTAGTTAGCCTACCAGCCCACCCCCCTTCCCCACTTAAAAATAGCCGTCCCATGGGACAATAATAGTTGGAAACAAGCATTCTGGACAAGAACTGAGTGCTGAAAGGAGGTAAAGAGACAGACCTGATAACCTTTCAGTACCTGTATGGCAAACCATAATGCCCAGAAAGACAGAGACAGACAGAGACGGAGAGATAGAAATGAGGGAGGGAGAGAGAGAGAGAGAGAGAGAGAGAGAGAGAGAGAGAGAGAGAGAGACAGAAACAGAGGGACAGAGAGGGAGACAGACAGACAGACAGACAGAGGCAGAGAGACAGAGACAGAAGGAGAGGGAGGCAGGGAGGGAGGGAGGGAGGGAGGGAGGGAGACGCTGGTGGTGAGAAATGTCCAGACGGGTGTTGGAACATTGTATGAAGGAAACCCACTCATGAACAACTTTGTAACTGTGAGAAAAATACATAAATATAAGTGAACTTAAACAAAATAAATAGTGGTCCTGGAAATCTACTTTCATTAAAGGAACAAACAGAAAGTCTCCTCCCCCAACACCTCTACCTCCACAACTGAAGGTAAAGTTAGAGTACCCCGACTCCAGGGCTTCCGGGGCAGAGATAGAAGCAGGACCTCAGATAAACACAAGCAGTAGCCTGGGGACAGTGACTGCTGGGCCATCAGGCCACACAGCCACTTCTGGTCCCAGGGGCCCTGACGCTCCCTCTGCAGGGCCCGGGACTCTGCGGAGCGCTGGTGCCCTGGTGTGGTGGGCATACACCAGTGAAAACTGCCCCCGGCTCCCCATCTGATACCCCGTCCAGCACCCTCTTTCCCAACAGAAGTGCTGGACACTGCAGATCGACCCACTCCAGAAAGGGATCCAGTTTCCTCTACACCCTGGCCGGAGCCCAGGGCCTGGACACCAGTGATGCAGATGCCCAGACTCTGAGAGAGGCGCCAGAGCCGCTGGGCCCAGAGGCATCAGCCAGGCAGAGAGACTCCAGCACAGTGGACTGGCCAGCACCAGTCTGTCCCTAGGACAGAGACAGCCGCCACCCTGGCCTCCACCCCACTCACAGCTGGGGGAGGTGCCGCCTGTGGGCATAGCAGTGCAGGAAGACAGAACCTGCAGTCCGTTTGTCCGTCCATCCATCTGCAGGCTACCCAGCTGCTTCTGCCCCCTGCAAGCTGCCCTGGAGTCCTCTCTGGGATGTCATGACCCCTCCCCAGCATGCGGTGCGAATCTGTGTGGGCTAGCAGGTACCCCACTAGACCTCCAGGGGGTGCTGGTTCCACTTCAGGCTGGACATAAGTGGAGGTGAACCCCAGAGTGCCTGACTTTGTGTGAACGGCCTCTCAACTTCAGCAGTCTCTGGATGCCCCCGCCCCCCACCAAAGCTCGCCTTTTCCTGCTCAGAGGCCTGTTTCCCCGGCGAGACATCGACAGGTTGGGGAGGTGTCTCCAAACACTCTCACTCCAGCACTCATAGCCAAAGACTTGCAGACTTTGTCCCTGACTCAGAACCGAACCCTAATGACAGCATCACAAGCCTATAGCCTAGTGCCCCCCACATCCTGCCACGCACCTGTAGAGCAGATTTGGCTAAACACCTCTTTTCGGAAAAAGTATCACTCAGTGACACCCCCCCCAAAGAAATTGACCTTCATGAAGCAAACAGAGAGTCCCCAGTTTTACCCAAGTTGACTACTGCCCCACCCCCCATGGTAGCATCCACTTTGGAAAACTCTGGTGTAGAACATGGTCACTGCGTCAGCCTGTGTCCCTATATCCCTAAGGCATCCTCCTACTCAGCATCTTCCCTGGAACAGGGAAGCAGAGTATGAAGGGTGAGGATGAAGATGGGGAGAACGTGCTCTCATTCAATCACTAGACAGTGTGGCCCACACATCTCTGCCTTCTAAAGGCCTCCGTGTAGAACTTTATCATTTACAGAGGCTGGAGAAATAGCACCGCAGGTAGGGCTCTTGCCTGGCACATGGGTAACCCGGGTTTGATCTCCAGCACCATATATGGTCCCTGGGGCCCACAAGGAGTGATCCCTGACCAGAGAACCAGGAGTAAGGCCTGAGCACTGCTGGGTGGTCATCAATCACCCCATTCCCCCAAAACAAGCAAAACAAAACAAAACAAAAAAACAACCGAACATGATAGTTTACAAAACAAATATCCACAGCACATGTGGAAGAAGAAAAGACTCCAGGGGTAGCCCCAGTGAGAAACGAGACAGAGTGGGAAGTCTCTTAAGACCGTTGTTAGCATCCTCTGTAAGGTCTATGGGGATAGGAAATTTCTAATATCTCTGTTAGGATTAGAAACTGGAGTCGCTTTTCTGAAGGTCCACTTGTCTCCATATTTTACATGATCCCCCCAAAAAAAAACTCCCCTTCCAGAAAGATGCTGGCAGAAAGATCTAAACGTTATAAATATCTACAGCACCTGGTTCAATACGCTGCCATCTCTGCATCTGACAGAACGCCACAGCCCATTCATAAGGAGGAGCCCCCCCACCCCCAATCACTTCTGGGATCTGCTGCAAACAAGAAGAATAAAATGCGAGTCATCTGGGATGAAGCAGAATACAGTGAAAAACTTCGGAGCTGATGAACACCAAACAGAAAACAGAGCTTCACTTGGAAGAGAAAACGGAATCTCAGGAACCTTGGATAAAATAGCCTTCTTCCTGGTCACAGTATAGATACAAACATAGATATGGAATGGATGTATACACATAAAGAGATACTTCAAAAAGAGAGATACCACGTATGCCCTATATTTGTGAACCCTTAAAACAAACATGAATTTAGCATCCCCCCACACTCCAAGGACCTGGGCTGTTTGTTTCCAAGCAAGCCTCTACCCCAAATCCCTCTTCACAGGGGAGATGCTCTTGGGAGCATCTCTACCATCCCTAAGCATCGGGAGCGAGAAGCACCAGCTTCCCAGGGAAGGGAGGGACTTATTTGTGGCTTGGCCCAGGACAGAAGGAAAGGGAAGCGTTGGCTTCTGAGTGGGCGAGTGTGGAGGTTCTTCTGGCCTCTTGGATCAAACAGCTTTGGTCCTACTCACAAAAGCACACCTGCAGCCCCCCGCCTCTCTGAGCGGCCCCTGGCCTTCAGCCACCTACCTCAGAGAAGCGTTGCACGTCCTGTGTCAGGGTACCCACTCGCTTCCACCGGAAGTACTTCAGCAGCTTCAGGATGGCCGGGTTCACGGCGTTATCCGAGGGCACCGTCCGGAAGAAGTAAGGGTACTTTTTCTTATCCGCTAGCACAGGTGTGGTGGCAGCAAAGGAAAGCTGGGACACACAAAATAAAAGAAAAAAAAAGACTTTTACCAGGGGGTCCCTTAGCCCTTCCCAAACAATGCAGAGACCCTTAGTGCTGACTCTCAACTCAAGCACAAGGGGTGAGATGTTTGTAATGAGTTTTCTTGATGGTATTATTATCACCTATCACTACTTGGTGGTATTATCATGTCTTATCGCTGGGGAGATGTTTTGAAATGCATGATATGGAGAAAGCCCAGTAATCCACCCTTCTCCAAAAACTACCATTAATGCTGTAGTATCTGTGTCCCTCCATCCACTTTCCCAAAAATGTGCTTTAAACAAACAAACAAAAAAAGATTCTTAAGATTGTTCTACGGTTGAAATTTCTCCCGAACCCTTAACTCTATCCTATAAGCATTTAACCATCCTATAAAAAATACCTTGTAAGCATTTTAATAGCACACAATATTCTAACATAATGGGTGGGTGCATTTGATGTGTTTTCAATTTCACTTTATAATTACATCATTGTATAAACATCTGTGCACAGTACTATGCCCATCACCTCCCCACCCACACACACATATACACACACACATTTCGGGCTATGTCCATAGCACAGTCTGTGAATTAATAGTTCTGGGTGAACAGGATATGGTTTGAGGGGGAGAAGAGGCAGTACATGGTGAAGGAATATGACAACACCAGTTTGATCCCCAGCGTCATATCATTCCTAAACAGGGCCAAATACAGTTCTGGAGGGCCCAGATCCCCGCTGGGGTGGCTCAGGTACCCCTGGAACCTCAGGGCTGAGTAGCACTGAACCCCTGAGCTGTCTCATTGAACTGATGACCAGGTTGACCTAGAACCACTGAGAGAGACCCCAGGTGTTCTGAGTACCATGTGCCACACCACCAAAAAAATAATAAGGCTTAGTTTAAACACTGGTGCTTATTTCCAAAAAGAATTCCATCAATTTCTACACCCACTAGCGTGGCATCCTTATGGGGCTGGTTTCATCGCATTCTTGTCCACTCAGGGAAATTAAAGTTCTCTATGTAATTGTTAGTGATTGATCATCAAAATCATACTGTGCTCATTGGCTCCAGAGGAGGGTACCGCTTCTTCCATGTGGTCATAAGTCGTAGTCTCTCCTATCTGGGAAACTTTTTATGTGCCTTATTATTTTTTGTTTGCTTAATACTTTTCTCCTTGAGCGTGTCTAAGACTTCTTATATGTTTGAACATTCAAACTCAGGCTGCCACCGTGACTACAAAATATCCCAGTTTGTTCACATTTGCATTTGCGTGTGTGTTTTCAGTTACACTCAGGAGTCAAATCTGTCCCCCTGTCCAGTTATTAGTTCTCATCTTTCTTTTATTTATTTTTCCCCTTTTTTGGTTTTTAATTGAATCTCTGTGAGACACAAAGGTTTTGTGACTGGGTTTCAGTCATACAATGTTACAACACCCTCCCTCCACTAGTGTGCATTTCCCACCACCAATCTACCCCCATATCCGTCCTGCCATGCCCCCTCCTGCCTCTACAGCAGGCACTTTTCTTCTCTCTCTCTCTCTCTCTCTCATGGAAAGGCCATCATGTTTGGTCCTTTACCCACTTTCAGCGCACATCTCCCATCCGGAGCGATCCCTTCCAACCATCATTGTCATAGTGGTCCTTTCTCTATCCCTTCTCCCCCAGCTCATGAGACAGGCTTCCAACCATGAACCATTTGTCTTGACCCTTGTTTCTACTGTTCTTGAGTGTTAGTTTCATACTATGTTTATATATATATATATATATATATATATATATATATATGGGCTGGAGCGATAGCACAGCGGGTAGGGCGTTCGCCTTACACGCGGCCAACATGGCCGACCCGAGTTCGATTCCTCCGCCCCTCTCGGAGAGCCCGGCAAGCTACCGAGAGTATTCGATATGCCAGACACAGTAACAACAAAGTCTCCAATGGAGACGTTACTGGGCCCGCTCGAGCAAATCGACGATCAACGGGAGGGCCTTTATATATATATATATATATATATATATATATATATCCCCCAAACGAATGCAGTCATTCTATGTCTATGTCTGCCCTTCTTTTTCTTTTAGGTGCAGTAAGTTGCCAGACTGTACTTTTATGATCTGTCCCACAAAGCCCAGCCTGAATGGCACCCCCAGGAGGGACCCCCTGTCCTTCCACCTCAGCCTGGCAGGTGGCTGGCAAACTTCCTGATCTTTAAAGGCAGCTTGGTGCTGGGGAAACGGGACCTCAGAGCTCTAATCTGCATTTATCTGAGGGGTTGAGCAGTTCTTCCCAAGCTTCCGTGTGATTTGCAGTGCTCTGTTCCTCCCCTTGGCCCGGGCTTCAATGTGCCTCACAGTCTTTTTCCGATTCCCTGGTAGGATTCATCTCAGCACTGAAGGACACTGGTCCTGAGTGGTACGTTAACTCCCTCACATTGCCCCAGTTTGTAATTTTTTTATGTTTCAGATGGTGTCTTTTCCAATGTTAAAAAGTTATTTTATACTTCTTTGACTTTGCTTTTGTTTGGGGGCCAAGGTTTACTCCTGGCTCTGTGCTCGGGGATCACTCCTTAGCAGGGCTTGGGAGACCATGTGAGGTTCTAAGGAGAGAAGCTGGATTGGCCACATGCAAAGCAAGTGCCTGACCCACTGTACTATCTCTTTGGTTCTCAAAAGTGATTTTATTCTTGTTGTGGGAGCCACACTCAGCAGTGCTGGGACGGGGGAGAGGCATGTGCTCCTAGCAGTGCTCAGGGGACCATTTGGTGCTGGGAATTGAACTCCTCCGACAGGAAAATCATGTGCTCAGTCCGTGACGCTATCTCTCTGGCCCTAAACACAGTTCTTATTTAAAGTGTGGTTGAATTTAAAATGTGGTTTTCTTCTTTTCTGTCTTCAGGTTTTCTGTCACAATGAGAGAAGCCTTCCTCCTCCCCCAAACTTCTGAGATTATTTTAAAAAAAAGTTCTTCTTGATTTCTTCCAGGTTATCTGTCATCTCTCGCTTCCTCAGTTCCTTTCTTTCTTCCTTCTTTGGTTTCACTTTGATCCCTGGTCCAGATAGGGCGAGGCTGAATGTCATGCCCGTTTGGCACACCCTGGCCAGTGCCAACAGCTGCTCCAAAATGAACCCAACTCAGAGTTCAACTTCAGTCTCCAGAGAATGAACATCATGGTACCCTGGGCCCTCAGCTAGGTGTGTTCCACTGTTCCCCCCTCCAACACCTGAGAAAGGAGCACCCTTCCCCCCCAAAACTTGGGGAGTGTCCCTTTTTCTGCCTGCTCAGAAGGCAGACAGCCACCATTGGAACCCCAGGGTGTCCTGTCTCCTCTCAGGATTCCAGTAGATTCCACCTGCTAGAACCACGGCAAGAACCCATCTGCACAGCCTGGGTGGCAACGCCCAGCTCTCAGGCTGCTTAGGGGTACTTAAATACTGTGGATAGGCCATGATGGGACAGAAGGGACAGTCCTCAGACGTCCCCAGTCTGCCTGTACTGTATGGCCCCGAAATGGTATCAAATATCCAAATGGCTCCTGGCAGAAAACAGTGGTCCCCAGCTCTCACCTCTGGGAGCCAATTTCAAGCTCCCTCCTGACTGAGAACATGAGACTTCTCACCAGAGCTGAGGGTGAAACAGCTGTTACCTTTCAGTTCTAGGTGGCTGGAATGTGACTCAGTGCAGAATGCAAGGTCACATGTGTGAGACCCTGGGTTCAATACACACACACACACACACACACACACACACACTGTATAACTTATACAAAAGACAAATGGCTGGAATGAAGCACCTCTAGAAAGAGATAAGGAAAAGAATATTTAGTATATCCCATTTGTTTATTTTTGCTTCTGTTTGTTTAGCCAATGACAATGAATCATTGAAGAGGCTTCTAGAATCAATGTCATGAAGGATACTGCCTGTGTGTTTCTCATTTGCCTGTATGATTTATGGTTATCAAGGTCTTTAATACATTTTCAATTGATTTTTGTTCATGGTGTGAGATAGGGGTCTGAGGGTTTTTTGTTTTTGTTTTTGTTTTTTAACATGTAGCTGACCAGTTTTCCCAACTCCATTTGTTGAAGAGGCTTTGTTTGTTCCATTTCATACTCTTAACTCTTTTATCAAAGATTAGTTGATCATGCTCTCAGGCATACGGAAGTATGTGTCTCAAAGCTCTCAATTCTATTCCACTGGTCTGAGACTCAGTCCTTATTCCAGTACCACACTGACTGGATTACTGAAGCTTCTGTTTTACAAGAGAAATGATGACCAGAATAAAAAAAGACACCAACAGACTAGGAGAAATTATCTGCCGACCATTCATCTGACAAAGGGTTAATATGCAAGATATATAAAGCACTTGTAAAACTAAATAAGAAATAAAAATAATTAATGCCATCAAAAAAGAGGAGACAAACAAACTTGCTCAAAGAAGATAATCAGGGAGTCAACACGATATGAAACAAGTCTCTGTGTCAATTAACATCTGGGAAACGCAAGTAAAAACAACAATTAATATCATTTCACAGCAGTAAGACTTGCACACATCACAAAGAACAATAACACCAATGTTGGAACGGATGGGAGGGGGAAAAACCTTTATCAACTGCTGGTGGGAATGTTGACTAGTTCAGCCCTTTCGGGAAACAACATGGACACACTTCTCAAAAAAAAAAAAAAACCAATTAAGCTGACCCAGAAAATCCACTTATTGGCATCTACTTCAAAACCCAAAAAAAAAATATTCAGAAAAAACATTTGCACTCCTATGTTCACTGCAGCACCATTCACAAAAGATAAAAATAACATGAGTATCCAAGAACAGATGACTAGATAAAGAAACTATGATACAGAGACACAATGGAACACTACTAAGTTATTTGCAAAGATGAAACCATGCAACTTGCCACTAGATGGATGGAACTGGAGGGTATCAAGTGAGCAAAGTCAGCCAGAAAGAAAGGAACATATACAGGATGATGTCTCCCCTAT